GATCTTGGCTCACTGCAAGCTCTGCCTCCCAGGTTCACGCGATTCTCCTGCCTCAGCTTCCCAAGTAGCTGGGATTACAGGCATGCACCACCACGCATAGCTAATTTTGTATTTTTAGTAGAGACAGGGTTTCACCATGTTGGCCAGGCTGGTCTCAAACGCCTGACCTCAAGTGATACGTCCGCCTCAGTCTCCCAGAGGGCTGGGATTACAGGCGTGAGCCATTGCGCCCGGCCACACGCTTGCTTTGACTATGAGAACGCAGCCAAATCTGATCTAGATGGAAGTCACGCGGGCTCTCTCTCTCTTCCTCCAACCACCCATCCCTTCATCTTACACTCCTCTTTCTCTCGTTCATCCACATGCTGTCCTGTCACACCTGTGGTCCTCAACCAGGGGCCATTTTGCCATTCAGGGAGCTACTGGTAATGTCCAGCGATAGTTTTGGTTGCTACAACCAGGGTTCATGTCATGGGTAGAGCCCAGGGATCCTGCTAAACATCTTACGGTGCCCCAGTAGCCCCCCAGCACAGAGAATCATCCAGTCCCAAGGTTAAGAAGCCCTGGATTCTACATAGCCTCCTGAAACTGGCTGGGTTCACTCAACGCAAGGTCTTTCCGTGTCGGCCTATGTGTTCTACCATCCAGTAAACACTGCTTGAGCACCTACTGTGTACCAGGCCCGGTTCCAGCACCGGGGCCAACTCAGTAAACAAGACAAAGCCCCGGCCTCCAGAGGGCACTGCCATCCTTGCAGAAGACAAGACCTATCCATATGCCACCCTGATAGAGCTCCCTCCCTCTCCTTAATCGTCCCAGAGCATCCCAGCAGGAACAGCACAGCATTCAGTTAGCCAAGGCCTTCCGACAGACATGGGAGCTGCTTTCATCTTCTTGCAATGACATACCATCACAAAGGACCGTGCCTCCTTGTGCCCATGCATGAAAGGTGCCCTAGGGCCTGACTAGGGTCTTAGAGGCACCAAGGCCAACCTGGGAGCCCATCAGTCCTATGCCGGAGGAGGCGCTGGACTTGTATTTTTTTTAAGACAGAGTCTTGCTCTGTCCCCCAGGCTGGAGTGCAGTGGCGTGATCTCGGCTCACTGCAAACTCTGCTCCCAGGCACAAGCAATTCTCCTGCCTCAGCCTCCCAAGCAGCTGGGACTACAGGCGCCCGCCACTACACCCAGCTAATTTTTCCATCTTTAGTAGAGACAGGGTTGTCACCATATTGGCCAGGCTGGTCTCAAACTCCCGGCCTCATGATCCATTGTGCGTGGCCCTGAACCTACATTTTAACCAGACCCCAGGCATTCCCATGCACAACACAATTTGAGAAGCACAGCTCTAGGTAACTACCTATAGGGGATGGCTGGCTCAGCCCTATATATTTCAGCAGATACTGCCGAAGCGCCCCCCGAAAAACCCTCCCACCAGCAGTCTGCACGTTCCCCTTCTGCACCAACTTTGTGTTGCCAGAGGCTGCCGTTTTTGCCAAGCTGATGATTCCTCCCATTTTCCAGCAGTGGAGACTGAGGCTGAACGAGGTGTCTAGACAACCAGCACCAGCGGCCAGTGACCTCTAAGGCCCCTCCCAGTTCTGACTTTAGGGTCTGGCCGCAGCCTGGGTGTCTCATCCCAGCCTACTGATCAACCACTCTGGCTCTCGGCAGCTGCTTGGAGCAGGAAGGAGGAAAGGTTACAGCTCACCTGGCAAAGGAAGCAGAGTTTGTATGGGAGGGGGCAGGCCCAGCGGCCTGGACATCTGTGAGTGCTACTGGCAAAGCCGCCCCTGTGCCCATTCATGTCCAGTCATGCAGGACAGAGGACCAGGCTGGGCACAGAGCAAGCCTTGCCCTGTCGCGCATAACAAGTAATGCCGGAGGGCCAAGCAGACGAGGGAAAGGACTCTGGGGCCAAGAAGCCAGATGGGACCCCAGCTTTGCTCTTACCAGTTACACATCTTAGCCTCCGTTTCCTTCCTGTAAAAATGGGCTCATATCACTCACTGCAGAAGGCTGCAGTGAACACTTATGCACAGATCAGTCAACAAACAGCAGCCACCACCTGGAGCCTTTGCTTGGGTCGGTGCTGTGACTTTATTCAACTTACTACAGCCTCAGCAGTCACTGCGACTGGCACTGTTGTTCTCCCCATTTAACAGATGGGGAAATCAAGGCCCAAAGAGGTGCAGTGGTCTGCCCTTGATAGAACACTGAGTTATAGCCACAGGAGGGGTGTCCTTGGGCCTGCAAAGTCAGAGTTACTCATCTGAATTCTGCCTCTGTGGGGCTGTGTGGCCCTGGGCAAGCTGCTTCACTTCGCTGAGCCTCCACTTCCTCGGCAGTGAAATGAGGACACAACACACAGAGCAGAGAGGGGAAGCCATCTGCAAACAGAACTGTCTGCACAGCCCCCACTGAGACTTAATAATGCCACCCCCGAAACACCCAGCCTAGGGAGACCTGTCACCCGTGGGCATCTCTGATCTTTCCTGAGCTCCAGGTACAACACAGGCCAGGCCATGCAAAGCTGGCAACCCCCAGAGAGGGAAAGCTGCTTGCTCAAGGTGACACAGCTGGTAAGTAGCACAGAGCAGAGTCAGGCAGCAAGAGGTGAGGTTTCAGACCTGAGGGCAGCACAGGCAGCAGCCAGGGTGGCGGCGAGGGTCAGGCTCAAGCTGGAGGTGTCTGGAGTGGTGACCACCAGGAGCTGGTACACTCTTGGTGGCACGGTCTCCCTCCTGCTGGCTTTTAGCTGGAAGGCTCCTTTGAAGGATCAGCCAGCCTTGCGATGGGCCTGCCTCTCCTAAATGCTCCTCCCTCTTCGGGACCCAGTCTGGTTGCTCACCTGTGGACTGGCGGCGGGCACCTCCTCTCTGGGGAATCAGAGTTTCTCTTGGTGGCTGGGGCTCAGGTCTCCCAGGCCATGCAGTCTCCCGGAGCCAGACTTGCTCTGGTCTCTGGAATCCCCTCTTGTCATTGTGACCAGAGGATGTCAGCCCCTGCCTAAAACCTGCCACACAATTCTAGCTCCTTCCTTTGGTTTTAACAGCGCCACCTGATAGAAACGCAGGGTGAGACATACTTCAAATCCTGTTTTCTAGTAGCTACATTACGGAAGTAAATTTAATTTAATAACAAATTTTGTTTGACTCAATATATACAAAATATTATCATTAATATAAACATTATGGAGATAGTTTATATTCTTTGTTTTTTAAGGACTCAGTCTTGGAAAACCTGGGGTATAACTTCTACTTTCAGCGCACCTCAATGTGGATGCTAAACTCTCAGTGGAAATAGCTCAACTGTACGGAGATTTCATAAAACTGACAGTTGACAAAATACATCCACATACCCGAACTGTTGCACACAATTAAAAATGTTCCAATTAAAAGTTTTCCAAGAACGGGATTGAGTATCTGTTCTGAAATTTAAATAGATTAAAACTTAAAATTTGGCCAGGACCGGTGGCTCATCCCTGTAATTCCAGCACTTTGGGAGGCCGAGGCAGGCAGATCACCTGAGGTCAGGAGTTCAGGACCAGCCTGGCCGACATGGTGAAACCCTACTCTACTAAAAATACAAAATTAGCCAGGCATGGTGGCAGGCGCCTGTAATCCCAGGTACTCGGGGAGCTGAGGCAAGGAGAATCACTTGAACCCAGGAAGTGGAGGTTGCAGTGAGCCGAGATCACACCATTGCACTCCAGCCTGGGTGACAGAGCAAGACTCTGTCTCAAAAAAAACAAAAAAACTTGCAATTCATTTCCTCAGCCACAGCAGTCACATTTCCAGGGCTCCGCAGCCACACGTGGTTCATGGTTCCCACAGTGGGCTTAAAGGTTAATAAACTCCTGGCCAGGCTTGGTGGCTCATGCTTGTAATCCCAGCACTTTGGGAGGCCAAGGCAGGCGAATCACCTGACATCAGGAGTTCGAGACCAGCCTGGCCAACATGGTGAAACCCCATCTCTATTAAAAATACAAAAATTAGCCGGATATGGTGGTGGGCACCTGTAATCCCAGCTGCTCGGGAGGCTGGGGCAGGAGAATCACTTGAGCCCAGGAGGCGGAGGTTGCAGTGAGCCAAGATTGCGCCACTATACTCCAGCCTGGGCTCTAAATACATACATACATACATACATACATACATACATAAACAAACTCCTTAAGGCCAGGACAACACTCCCAATCCCTCTGCTCTCCCCTCTTCCCCTGCTCACATCACATCGTAATTGTCCCTCTTGGAGTTTCGCAGTCTCTGCAATATAGACACTTGGACCAGATCATTCTCTGTGGCAGTGTGGGGTGGGGCTACCCTGTGCATTGTAGGATGGATAGCAGCATCCCTGGCCTCTACCCAGGAGATGCCAGTAGCATCCCCTCTCTGAGTCCTGATGACCAAAAATGTCCTCAGACATTACCAACTGTCCCCTGGGGCTGCAATCATCCCCATCAAGCACACTGGTCTATGGGGGAGGGGTGAGAATGGGTGAAATTAAACCAATTTTCTCCATCTCCTAGGCGCCTGTGCAGTACGTGATGCCCTAAGGTGCCCAAGCCTGTACATGAACAGAAGAGGCTTACTCCACCCTGAGACTCACCTCCTCCAGGAAGCCTTCCACAATGCCTTAGCCCGGTTAGCGTTTCTGCTGGTCTCCCACAACCCCCTGTGCTCACTCCTGGTGCAGTCCCCTCCAAGGGTAGGAAATGGGCCTTGCTCACTGTGTATTTTCAAGGCCCGGAAATTGGTATACAGACCTGAAAAACACGGATGACTTAGGCTGGAAGCCCCGCAAGGCCAGCTTTGCCCATTTTAACTCAGGGCTTCCTCACCCCAACAAAGGTGCTATACCAGTCACGGCTCCGTTTACGCACCAGACAGTGAACTAACTTCCACAGGATTGAGAGAGGGAAACTGAGGCTCACATAGATAAAGCTTGCCCTGGATTCCAAGGATCTTGAGGGTAAAAATTCCCGGTTCCTCCTCTAATGGACCAAATGAAGTCATGCATGAAAAAGGGTATTTGTAATATATATCAAGGGAATATTTATACCTAGAACATATAAAGAGTTCTGTGAAATCAATAAAAAGAAGACAGGCAACACAATAGAAAAATGGTAAAGGCTGAAGTCATATTTCATAAAAGAGGTTATCTAAGCGGTTGACAAGCATAGGAAAGGGTGCTCAAACTCATATCCATCAGGGAAACAAATGCAAATTTAAAGCACATTGTGGGATCATTATATAACTAAATAACTAAAAAAAGAAAAGGATACCAAGTGTTGGCAAGGATGTAATGGAATCAGAACTTTCGTACTCTGCTGGCGGGAGGGAAACCTGGTACAACCCCTTTGGAAAACTCTGGCTTAACCCCTGAGACAAGGCCCGAATGTGCACCTTCTCTATGACCCAGCAATTCTACTGCTGATTATCTATGCATGAGAAATGCGGTTAGCTGCACACAAAGGGCACAGATCAAAGTGTTCCCGGTGGCACGGTTGTAATTGCCCCCAACTGGAAACTCTACAAACACCCATTAGCAACAGGATGGATACATAAGGAAATACAAACAGCCGGGAGACAGAACAAGCCAGAACCTCACGCAACAGCAACACGTATGATGAGCAAAAGAAGTCGGCACGAGGCCGGGCGCGGTGGCTCAAGCCTGTAATCCCAGCACTTTGGGAGGCCGAGGCGGGTGGATCACGAGGTCAGGAGATCGAGACCATCCTGGTCAACATGGTGAAACCCCGTCTCTACTAAAA